AAGTAAGGTAAGTTACTTTAATTAATTAAGGCTTCAACCTCATAAGTCTGTAGATTGTGTTTTACACTTTAGCATTCAATAATTTAGAACACATCCATGCCATTTACATTTGACTAGCTTGTAGGTTACTCGACACAATTTTGTCTTTTAATTTTTTTCTTACTTCTATGTTTTCAGTTTTAGTAGTTGTACCTTGCACTTCACAATTTTAGTAGTTGTAACATGTGTTTTTAGTTTTTTTTCATACTTTTGTATTTTAATGTTTATTGTGTACTATTCTTTTTTTAATTTATTACATAGTATCTTTTATGACCACTAATTAATTAATTTTTTTTCTTTTTTGCAGATGTCGAGTGGAGCCAAGGACGGTTTTCTTCCTCGCTTGGGAGTGGGGACGTGGCACACTGCATTATCGTACAAAGAAAAATGTCAGGAGAGGTCGCCCGACTTCTACACCCACTCTCAACCTTGCCCCCACACCCACCCCTTACCCAAACCACACCCCTGGCCTAGATCCCGGCCCCGACCTCAGTCCCGGTACCGGCCCCACCCCCATCCCCAACCCCACCCCCGTCCCAGACCCTGACTCTCACCGCTGACCTAATTACCCCCATTATTACACCCACTGCCAACCTGATCCCTACCCCACTCCTACTCCTAACCCTACCTCTACCCTCACCGCAACTACAGTAAGATTGATTTTGGTAGAGGTCTACACTACATCAAATAGGTAGGAGTCAACAGGGAGCAACTACTACATTGGACATGTTGGTAACACGTAAGCTTTTTTAAGATATTGAAAATGATCCTTTTATTTTTTTAATTGAATATAAAATTAACCATTTGCTATTTTTAGGTTATACTCCTCAACTCAGATTATTCATACCATTAGGGATATCATCCAAAGCATTTAAAATTCAGTGTACTTGTTATGGAAGGAGATCCCAATGACAATTAGGGATGTTTGGTTTGAAAAGTTTACGATATGTATTATTCACCAATATATTAAATTATTATTATTTATTTATAAATATAACATAATTTTTGTAATTTTGCAGAAAAAATTCTCTTGACAGGTTAAATACGAGGCACACATCCAAAGCACTTCGAGCACAATGATAACGATCACCTACGAGACATGTTCGACAATATTTAGTAGTATCCCTGGTGGCTCTAAGAGGATGTATTTTCCACGCTACTTAGGGTCTGGGATACCTCGGAATACCAGAAGAAAAGGGAGCAGGCAAAGTAGAATAGGTGGTCGGACTGTAGGGACTTGGGGCCCTCGATGCACACTGGTGGGGTGCTCCCACATACAGGATACAAGCAAAGGCTAGTAATATTTCATTACTATTTTAAATTTTTCTATAGATAGAAGATATATTCTCACTATTTTGCATATGGACAGACTGTGACAATAGGACAAGAGCCCCCGGCTGCCATGTACATAAGCGTACCCAAAGGATGCAGTTCAAATAGTCTTGGAAAAACGATAAATCCTGTGTGAGTTAGTAATTTGTAATCTAAACTAGTTTGATGTTAATGCAAGGTAGCTCTAACTCTATGTAACTTTTTTTAGGAGAGATTCTAGTAGCTTAAGGGGAGCTGATCCTAGGCTTCGGGTGGTACTATGATTCTACATTATGATCCTTCCAAGTATGATATGTGGAGGGAGGCTACTAGAGGGAAGAAGAAGAGTTGTGTATACGAGCTCGGGTCACCAACATTTGCCTACAACACTCATCCCTTCACCAATGCATCTACAACTTACACCTCCACCTCACAAGAGGAGGAGTTATCCCTGTGTGTTGTTGCAATTGTTGTCGAGAAGGAGGCCTGCTTAACTTAGATGAGGTCAGAGCTGGAGGCAAACATGGAGGCCAAGCTGAAGGTTGAGTTAGATTTGTTCTGACAACGAATATGGCAACATGGCAAGACAACATTGGAGGAGGAAGAGGTGGATGACGATGATGATGAGGATGAGGATGAGAAGATAGAGGAGGATCGTTAACGAGAATTTTTTATTATTATTATGTTGTACATTTGAACATATATTTTTTCTGTGAATAATGATGCATTTATGTCAGATTAAATATATTTTATTTATTTGGTTTTTTGATTGGATAGTCTACTGGTCAAAAGTTATTTTAGTTTGTTAAATGCTTGAAATGATAAATTAAATGTTATGATTGCAGGTGGGGTAATGTAAGTACAAAAAGGGTGAATTTATTTATTTTATTGATGCTATAAGTTTTCGACGACTTATTGGCAGTTTTGTGACTACTTTTTACATATTTGTGGACATAACCGATGGCTAGCCAATGGACTTATTCATCGACGTATCATTGACACTACCCGTGCCATAAGAAAACGACAGTCGCAACACCTTTTTAACCATTTCTTCATTTATTATTAAAACCGACTCATCATTGACACTGAACCAACGACGAGCCTCTGTTAAAAAAAGTGATGGCCATGACACTTTCCTAACATTGAAGTTGTCACTATTTGTCGAATGAACTATCATTTGTTATATGAACTGAGGAAAATTGACGCTTCAGAATTACTCAAAAAAGTGATAATAAAATGTTGTTGGTTATGCGTTAGTAAGTTTATGACATCAAAATATCAGTCAGTATGAAAATTATGGACAATCATTTTAGGTATGATCTTAAAACAACTAATGAGCCGTCATAAATATAGCATCTGAAAGTATTTCATGGATAACTGATGAAATGTGGCCATAAAAGTTAGCATTTTTTCTCTAGTAATGTGAAATGTGATTATGCAAGCATCCAAATAAAAGTATGCAAATGTAAGTGAGTAATGAGAAAGCAACACTTGAAGCCTTCATTATCATAAATTTATATTGTCCCCATAAATTGTAAGAGCAACAATTTTTTTTAGGCTATATGACAAATATCCTCACAAATCCTAAACTTTCATAAAATACTAAACTATAGACCAAGATATCATTTCAACAAGCACAAAAACTAACTACTAAACCAATAAATATAACTAAACTTAAACAAAACTTTCAATTTTGCAATGCATAATCGAGAAGACATAGATGTAACACCCCTAGGTAAATATTCAAGTGTACCACTCTCACAATAGCAAAGTCGCAACTTCTTATGATATCAAAACCCTAATAATAACTTAGGGCAGGGAAAAAACTGTTCAAAGCAAGACATAAATAATCAGGGCAAGCCACAAATCAACTAGATAAATGCACAAATCGATTAGGACAAGGCAAAAATTGATCAGATTATCAAAAATGATATTAAGAGTGTGCAAAAAAATACTGGCACACAAGTTAGAATAAAATATATTGATAATGTTTTCAGCTAATTAGAAAGTAAAAAAAAAAAAAAATTAAAGACTACATTTGAAGATTAAAGACTACATTTGAAGCTAAAAAAAAAATTAAAGACTACATTTGAAGCTTTTGTTATGAAAAATATCACCAATTTCAAAACAAGTGGCATTTAACAAGTTCCAGTCGAGCATTGCAAAACCCAAGGAAAAACATTGAGAGAAGCAAATGAAATTAGGTTTCTAGGTTAGTGACTACATGCCACTTAAGCTAGAAAATGATGGTAAAAGCCAACAAAAATTCATCCTTTGTGTATTTTAAACTATTCCTAAATCTAAAATTAACAAAAACATAAAAATCCTTATAGAACTTGATGATTCAAGACTTAGAGAAGACTTAATTCTATGAGAAATTTAAATACTAATTTAGTTCTTCGAAAGAGTTAAACCCAACGAAATGTCAAGAAGGAGAAAATAGAGAATAGAAATATTTGGATCAGGATGAAGAGTTGGGATGAAGACTCGACAGGGAGACCAAGAGAAGTAAATAAAATTGGAGAAAATGATTAAAGCAATTGGGCAACCTGCAAGTTTCAAGTCTCAAGCTGCATTTTATGCATTTCATTTAAAAGACCACTGTTATCCTTAATTAATCTAATGGAATATTATTGCCATCGCATGGTCCGCAACTTTACATTGTAGAATCAAAATATCGAACTGATTGCTCGGTTGACAAAAAATGAGTAGCAAACCAGTGTTTCAATTGATTTTGAGCTTATTTTTGCAACTCGAGATTGTAACAACACAAAAAGGATGGTTGTTTTCTTCATTCTTCTAGAGAACATAAAAATATTAAAAAAATAAACTTAAAGTTCAAATGAAAACTATTGGAAAACCTTACAATGAACTTAAATAGTAATATTTTGAAATTTGAGCTGATGATGTGATCACCATTCGTTGATGGATCAACCCTAATTAAGATCAAATAAAAGTTTAAGATTAAATTCATTTTTTAAAATCATTAATGAGTTTCTAAATATTCATTCTCCTATTTTTTATTTTTTATTTGACTTTTGGAAAGATATATGAGAATTGAAGAATTGAATGTACAAATATAAAATACTTGGTTAGGTTAACCAAGTTCATCAAAAAAATTAGAACATGCCTATAAGCCGCCAATCATCCAAGATAGGATCTGGTTAACAAGTGTTGAAGTTAGTCTTTCATGTCCCTCAATATATATCATGCTATTAAACTTGATATTAGACAAAAACTTGCCTTAGCTATTAATTAGAAGATCATAACTATTTGGTTATGGGTACTCATCAAATTGATTAAGAGGCTTTACTCATTATAACTCATTAACATATCTTATCAGATGAACTTTGCTTTGGAAATTGACTTAAATCATTGCTACTTTAGTACTTTTTGCTTGTATGTTTGTGTTAAACCAAGACTCATCCTCTATGCACTTAGTTATAATGAGAATCCCTTATATATTTTATTTCCTATCATGTAGCTCTTCTTATACCACCTTTATTTGATCTGTATTTATAAAAAAAAAGTAAAAAATCAGGAAAAATATAAGTTCATTTTCCAATTTGGTTATAATTCTAACATCATTGAATATACTCTATAATTCTTGGCCAATTAAACCTTTTAATACCACCTACTTTTCAATCTTCCTTAAGCTCAATTTATTTTCATACAATGAATTAGTTGCCACCCCACCACCAATCCAGCAAAGTTCCTTCCTATTATGCAATTACATATGATGCAATTATAAGCATATTTTAAATCTCATAATAAAAATAATCATTATAGATAATATAGAAGAAATATTTTCTTATTATCCACAATATGCACAAAATTAAAGACATGCTCTCATCTGCTTGATCCTATTTTTTCCTTTTCTTTTTCTCTTTAAATTTTATCTTTTTAATCTTCATATAAACTCACTAATATCAAAAAAGTCAGGAATCTGGCAATCGAAGAAGCTGCTGTGGTAGCTATCTTTCTCATCATCTGAACTGTTGTTGATGATCATAGAAGAATTGTTCAAACTCTCGCTTAATACTGATTCCAGATCGCTGCATAAGCTCTGATCTTTAGGGAATTGGACATTGGATGCCGCATATAACAAACCAGACTTTTTTTGGTCCATTTCCTCATAACTAACATCATCATTAGTATACCCCAAATTTTCACGTAGATAGCAAGCGTTTCCTTCGTTGTATTGCCACGGATTTGCAGTACTGAACTGAACTTCATTATAAGGTAAATGTGACGGAAGCTGGTGCGGTATCGTTTGGAGACTAGTAGGCTGTGATTCTTGGGATTGAGACTGCAGGAGATTGGAGACAATTTTCAAGAACTCGGTGTTTAGGTGAGGTTTGATGTCAAGCAAGTTGAAGACATCGAGCCGAGCCCGTTGGTTGACGAGCACCGCGTTAAGAAGGGAAGAGAGGTTGAGGAGATCGAGCCGTGGTCTGTGCGTTACTGGGTCGATTCCCGAACGAAGAAGCCTCTTTCTGATATGGGTGTTCCAGTAATTCTTGATTTCATTGTCTGTTCTTCCAGGCAAGCGCGCAGCGATAGCTGACCATCTGAAAAGTTGGCAAGAAAACATCAGTTAAGTTGCTAGAAACATGAAAAAAATGCATGATGCATTTATTTATATACTGGCAAGTGTCGTTCTTACGTGTTGCCCAATATACTGTGAAGTTGGATGATGGTCTCCTCCTCTTCAAAAGAGAACCTTCCTCTCTTTATATCTGGTCGAAGATAGTTCGTCCATCGGAGCCTGCAGCTCTTCCCACATCGCGCCAGACCTGTATATTGAATGGTTATCATTAGATGACAACAATTAAGAAATATGGCATGAAATTTGGGTGATTTCTTAACAGAAAAACGTACCTGCATTCTTGGGAAGGGTTCTCCATGTGCCATGGCCATGCTTCTGAATATAGTCGATGAGCTTTTGGTCCTCTTCTGGTGTCCATGGACCTTTCTTTAAACCATTCTTCTCGCAGCAAGGAGTTCTCCCCATTTATCTTGATTCAGGTTTCGGATTTCGAGCTTCCGAAAGAGAGAGGAGGAGGTTTGCAGGAGGTTGAAGAACAAACTGAGGTGGAATGGAAGAAGAGGTACAATGAATATGGTCATATATAACTAGTTAGAAGAGAAAAAGAAGGAAGTCAAAAGGAGTTGGTTCAATACATCGCTCATCAATGATGAAACGTGGCCAATCTTTCGTGGTTACAAAGTCTAAACTATGTTATTAAGCTCCAATTATTCAATGGCCATGGGGCTAAAATAAGGCTGTGGAAGGCGCGGCACTCAAATGAAAGCAGGCATACGTTTTCCCATTGCGTTGGAGTTGACCGAGTGGTGCCACGCAGCCATAAAATGACGAGGGTGAAATGCGATTGTTTTGGGGGCCAGCGTAGGACAAAAATGATTTTCTCACTTTTTTTTTTTCATTATTATGCGTTAAAGAGTTGGAGTAAATGTATACTCATAAAGCTGATAGAAGTAAATTGAATAGATTCTCATCCATTTTTAGAAGAGCATATCAAAGTTTATTTTGAACTAAATCTGCCGACTTGAAGAGAACCAAAATAGATATACACACATACATAAATATATATGGATATACACACACATATATACATAGATAGAGACATACATACGGATACATACAAACAAAAAAAAGAAAAAAGTGAGTGCATTGTGTACAACACAAAATATATATATATATATATATATAGGTGCGTTCCAAGTGGCAAGTTGGTTGGCGACGTAGTCGTGAGTCCCCTCTAGAGCAGGTTCGATCCCCATTGAAGATAAACACACACCCTTGGAAAACCGATATTTGGGAGACGACCACTCCAAATCTCATTGTTATTCTTGGTAGTATTCCGTTGTTTTGCTATTATCGCGTTTCTTGGTGTTATTCACAGTATTATTGACAGTAGTATTTCGTTGTTCTTGGTGTTACTGCGTTACAAGGGAGGTTATTCTCAGAGTTGTTCATCGTGATATTCTTCATAGTATTTCGCTATTTCGCTATTATCGCGTTCCATGTGGGTTATATGCGGTGTTATTGTTGGCAGTATTCTGTGTTCATGCGGTGTTATTCCTTTACCATAGCACCATACAACTCAGGTATTATTGGTGGTGGTATTTCGAGGCATTGCATCGAGCGATTGATGTTATCTGTGGTAGTATTCAAGTGGTTTGGTTTTCCATAATTTTTTCGTGTTATTCCTCACCGAGTTTCCGAGATACTACGTGTTATTTCTTGTCGAACCGTGCAACAACCTCGCTCCTTTCAACAAGCCATCTCCCAAGTTAATTCAGAGCACTTTATATTTTCTAGTTATTGTTTTGGGGTATGATTGTCATTATGTGAGTTGTATACCTTGTGAGTGGGTTCTGTGGAGTCATTCTCTAAACTCCTTGTATTTTTTCTTTTAGTATTGAATGTTAATTCGAGCGTTTTAATATATATATATAATCAGATATATATATATATATATATGGCAGTTGGAGTGTTAGTTACAGTGATAGCTCATACACATGACGAATCTAAGAGTTAGTTGTATTCTTAACAACATCCAGCTAGTACATTTGAATTGTATGTTGATAACACCTCTCAACTTAATAATTCAATGACTCAATTGTTAATTTATCTCATAGTTTCTTCAACCTATGTGTTGATAAAATTTTGATAAAAATGTTTGCTACTTGATCCTGTGTTGCGATATGATTAACTGTAATTGCCTTGTTGTAGATATGATCCTGAATAATGTAAAAATCTATTTCTATATGTGTGGTTCTAGCATGGAAAATTGGATTTGTAGCTATGGCTAAAGCTGAAAAGTTATCATAGAAAATTGGGGTTGGTTCACTAGTTGAAAAACCCATTTTGTGCAAGTCTTCTTGGCCAAATGGTGTCAGTTATAACTACTGCTAATGCTTTGTATTCAACCAATGTTCATGATCATGAAACGGTTCTTTGTTTTTGAACCTTCCATGATATGAGAGTGACAACTTGGTAGTTGTAGTAATCTATGGTTGATCTTATATCAGTTTGATCGCCGACTTAATGCGATTTGTAGCTATGGCTAATGCTCAATCAATTAAATTTTAGCAGTAGTTTTTTTTTGTTAAGATTAATTCATGAGTAATTTTTCCTTTTAGGTAGGTTTGTGTTTGATCAATTGGAAGTGCTTCTAAGTTGGTGTTTGCATATGCCAACATACCTAACTAATAGTGTATGTAACATCAAGTTTTGTAATGTTACATATTGTAGTGCTCCAGCTAGTCAATAATAGAGTGTAGGGTCTTCAATTGGTTCTCAACATTTTGATTATTTTGAGATCTTCATGGGGAAGAGTTTTTGAGTTTATTTGTAGTAAACCACTGAATCAAGTTGGTGATATATTAAGATTGGTTTAGAAGCATAGCTTTTTAATTATGTGTATTTGAAGGCCTAGAAAAATTGACACCAAAATCATACATTTGAAATAGCTCATGAAGACCTAGCTTTGATGAGAGTTGTAATATATATTTTATCACTTCCATCAATTCAATGTTCTTCAAAATAGCTGAGTGGAAATTTGTTTTTGTCGTCTCTATAGTAAATGAATAAAGAAGGATCAATTATGCTTTGAGAGAGACGTCCAAGCTGTTTGAAGTGACCTAAGAAAGTCAAAAACTACTTCCTAGGAGCTGATTATAAGCAATAGATTGCTTTTCTTAGTCTACAAATATTTGTATGAAATAAAGTATCTTTAACCCTAGGTGTTTGCTTCATTTAAATACTGTCACGTAGATGACCATGTAGGAAATCATTTCTAACATCTAGTTGCAGAATTTTCCAATTTTGATTAAGTACAATAGTCAACAAAGTTCTAATGATAGAGACTCTTGTAATGGGACTAAAAATTTGATTATAATATATACGATACTCTTGATCAAATCTTTTAGCAACTAATCTCACTTTGTATTTTTCAATTGATCTATCCTAGTGTTAGTTGGTGCAGAATGAACATTTGCATCCCAACACTTTTTGACCTTTCAAAGGTGTACAAAATTTCAATCCGCCTTGTTTTTGAAAGGATGAAATTTCTTGAGGCATGACTGTTCTCCAATGTAGGAATTTTATGGCTTGAGAACAACTTGTAAGATCTTGAGGAGTCTAAATTTAGTTATTTAAATTCATGAATTTCTTGGGCATTGTAATTTCTATTAAAGATCTATTTATCATGTAATGTTTTGGTTGTATAACAGGTGTGATTGAGTGTGAACAATCTCATTTGTTATTAAGTGGGGGATCTTATCATTTGTGAGTGGATTGACATTATTGGTTGGATTTTGGATAGGATTGTCATGCGTTGATGAGGTGGAGGTCTGAAGTGACAATATTTTTGTATTGGGTTCTTGTGTAAAGCATGTAGTTGGTATATGTGTTAAAAGAGGTGTATGAGATGTATTTGTGTTTGGGGTATGTGTATTGGATATGTTTTTGTATTGGAATTGAGATTCATCAAATGAAACATGTCTAGAAAGAAGTATTTTCCCTGTGATAGTGTTGCAATATTTATATCCCTTATGAGTGTTAGAATATCCAATAAAAGTACATGGAGATATATTGACAAATTTTTTTTTGGGGATTGTTGTCATGGAAAGCACATGGTTCCAAAAACATCAAGGTGATCATACCTATGTTGCTTTCTATAGAACAAGTCATATGATGATTATTTTTTAGTTATTTTATCTGAAAATTAGTTGATTAAGTAAGCTGTGACTGCATCAAAAAAGAATTGAATGGGAAGATTTGCTTCTAATATCATGGTTCTTGCGATCTCAATTATATACCATGCTTCCTTTCAGTTGCACCATTTAGTTGAGGTGTGTAGAGGGGGTGTTAATGCAGCACAACTTGGTGTTATCAGTGGTGGTACTCTAGATAGTATCCTGGGTGACCTTGGTGGTATTCCAATGGTTTAGTGTCGTGGTATTTCTTGTGTTATTTCGTGCGGTGCGGTTGTCATTGTCATGGGTGTTGTTGTGGTACTTGGTGTTATTCCTCGGCGACACCCTCACACAAGCAGTGTTATTGTTCGATGAGTTTTTCAAATCCGTGGTGTTATTTCGCCCTTCCTGGGGGGAGTTATTCGCGGTTGTACTTAGATGTTATTTGGTTTTCTACTAGTAGTATCGTGGTGATCCACTGCAGTTTCAGTCCCCCTTATGGCCTCTAAGTATTTCTATTGTTTTTGCAAGCTCTTTTGATTATTTTTTTGGGGTATACTTGTATTTTTTGGCCTTTTTGAGTGTGTTGCATACTTTGTGAGCAGGTTCTTTGCACCCACTCACTAAAGGTTATCATCGAAATCACTTTTGGGCTTTCCATAGAAAAAAGGAATGGACAAGGGCTATTATACGAGCCTCCTACCACCTCTAATGTGCCTAACAATTTGAGTACCACCTCCTTAAGGCCAACTGTGCCAAAGGGGATTCAAAATCCAGACCGTAGGGTCTTATATCGTGGATGCCAACCAACAGGCCAGGATACACAACACACACACCTACCACCTCTAATGTGCCTGACAATTTGAGTACCACCTCCTTAAGGCCAACTGTGCCAAAGGGGGTTCAAACTCCCGACTGTAGGGTCTTATACCGTGGATGCCAACCAACAGGCCAGAATACACAGCACACACACACACACACACACACACACACACACACATATATATATATCTATATATATAACATTTTTTAAATTATAGTAATTTTTAAAAATTTACTCTATATAAATGTACATTAAAATAGTGGGTGCATGAATCTCAAGGAGATCCAATGGATCACATGAAGAAAGCAACAAAAGATCAAGCAATCTAGCATCATTCCAGTCGATTGAATTTTGAGCCAGCCTAACATTAGTCGGATTGAACCAAGGAATGGCACACACCAAAACCAATAACAATTTAACAGACACAATGGCGTTCATAAGATCAATAGTCGCATGGTGGGGTCTCCTTCTAATAAACTCATCGACCGAAGGTTGGTTGCTTGTTATATTACAGTAATACATCCTCTCTCTGATGGAATAATTCTTCGAAAGGATAATGAGTCTTCACTCAGAAAAGATGACCAAAAATCATTCAGTCAGACGAATGACTTTTAGCCGGCTGAATGAAAACCAAATGGCCAAGCCAAGTAGTTATAAATATGAAATGGTGTTAAGGACAGTTACATATATGGAACTGGATTAACAACAGTTACAAGTTAAAGTATATATGATTCGATTACAAATATGTAAAGGAGTAATGACTCATAAATGCTTGTAGCGCTCTCATTAAATGAGAGACAATCATGAAATTTATTAGGCTCCTTCTATAACTTATAAATAGGAGGGTTATTTCTATAGAAAAGACTACTAAATCTTTCACAGAGAAATAGTGCTATTTTAATGTTATTCTTTTTTTCTCTTACTTTATCTTTTTTCACTCATCCGACCAACACTCTATCCCTTGGGCGTGACCAGAAGGATATTTTGGGATTCAACACTAAAGAGATTAGACTATGCATACTTATAATTGATTATTTTGACCCTACAAATAATAAAACAGAAGTCTAAACAAGATCCACATTAATAAAAATATAAAACCTTAAACTATTCCACATCTTTCTTTTTTAATTATAGACGATTTAACTTTCATTTCAACATCAAATTTTCCTTGACAAGGCCTAGGCTTGGCAATTTCACAACTTGTTTGAATTTAATTTAAGCTAACAAATGTATGAACCAAATTGACTATCCATTTTGTAAATGTGATGTCTATTATATATAATATAAGTTTAGCACAAAGTATTATATTATAATTAACTATAGCTTTGATATAAAATTAATTCAAATAGGTTAGACATAATATCATTTAAAAAATTTTGTTTTAATAGATCAATATTTTATTATTTATTTTGAGTTAGGTTTCAACATCTAATTTGAATGAATTCAATTTCATGAGGTACATGTGTTCTACTACAACATTGTTTTGAAATTGGATGCTAAATTTATCATAACTTTGTAGTAGTGGAACACATGTGCCTCAAAGTATTGTGTTGCAAATGTTGTCATAATTTTACAACTAATTTGATATCTAAAGAGAGTTTATCACAGTATTGTGAAAGTTGAATATAATCAAATGTGCTTCAAATGCTTCACAAATTTATATGATGGATTGAATTCCATAATAGGTTTCCATTTAAAGACAACATAAATGTAGTCGTAGAACACTTTTCTTTGGCACTATTTCCATGACCACAATCATCTCATCTAAATAGAGATCATCTTGTAAAACAACTCACGTGGTAGTGGAACTAACTTTGGACTAACTTTTCCTTATTCTTATAATAAGTTACCCCCTTTCATAAAGGAAAAAGCTTTGGTTATGAAGATTTCAAAAATTTTATTTGAGTGCTTTAAATTATTTGGGTTTTCCTCACAATCTATAAAAGATTTCAAAACATATAAAACAGATCATTGTTCTTCTATTTTGTAGATAACTAAAAGAATTAGAAAAAAAAATTTAATTAAAAAAATATTAGTTAAGGCTTAGCAATTGAAAACCTTCTCAACGAACCTAAATTTCATTTAACTTTAGATTTTAGATTATTATGTGATCACAACACATCGATATATCAAACTTATAATCAAGTTAATGTTCAAGATTAAATTTGATTTACTTATGCTGAAATGGGTTTAAAAAATTAATTTTCTCAGTTTTTTTTTTTTGTTGTTGTTGTGCTTCTTTGAAGATCTCTAAGAATTAGAGGAGGAAAAATAATTGCATGACAAATTCAACTAAGCTAGGTTAATCAAGTCATTTTCTTTCTTGAACTAGGTTCAACAATGTCCTGGACCAAGAATTGGCTTGGAATATACCCCAAAGCTTCAAGTCACCTAAAATTAGATCTCATTAACTTCCCTAGAGGTTAGCCTTAATTCATCTGACAGTACAAAAATACCGCACTTATCATTTAACCTAACTTATCCGATACATTCTGTAGAAAATCTAAACTACTTAGCTAAGACTACTTGCCTCACCATATTTTCTTATCAGTTACACTCACTAAAGGAAATTACCTTTAATAAGGTCACTTGCTCAGTTCTAACTTATTGGGCTGCACCCAACAAACATTCACTGGCTATACTTCTAGCTATAATGAGCATCCCTTTTGTACTTATATTTTATAGTCCAATTTGTAGTACCAACCTTCTTACAAAAACATCAATAGGGGGTTCAAAATTAGGGTAAGCATAATATCATCTTATAAGTTGGTTGAAATTAAGAAGCCAAATTGAATTAACTTTATGATTTCCAGCCTTTTCCTCTCTCTCTCATACATTCTTCTTTTTAGGCTCAATTTATTTCTACAATAAAGTCTAGTTATTTCCACACAAAGAACTTCAGATCCAACAATTTTGCTTGCTATCATGCAACCATATATCATGCAATAATTACAAGCACGGTAAGAATTCACAAGTAAAAAAATAATCAACATAGAGGAAAAAAAGGATTCCAAATTATCCACATCATGAACAAAATAAAAAAACAAATGTGGCCAAAACAAATTTTCAAGGACCGTCATTTTTTTTTTCTTTTATAGTTTTCCTTATCTTCCTTCTATTTTAGTTCATATGAACTCACTCATATCTAACAAGTCAGGAATCTGGAAATCAAAGAAGTGGCTGCAGTAGCTATCCTTCTCATCTTCCAAATTATTGTTAATGATCGTAGAAGAATTGTTCAAAGTCACGCTCGACACAGGTGTCGATATCACCGAATCATGATTGCTGTACAAGTTCTGACCCACAGGGAGTTCGTATGATAAACTAGACTTCAGTTGGTCCATATTCTCATATATAAAATCATTATTAGCAGTCACCAAATTTTCACTTAAATTGCAACAACTTGCTTCGTTGTATTGCCATTGATTTGCATTGCTTATCTGAACTGGATTATAGAGTAAAGTTGATGGAGGCTGTGGTTCCTGAACCAGGTTTTGTTTTAAGATATTTTGATTTTGGCATTGGGTCTGAAGAAGATTAACGGCAATCCTCAGGAGCTCTGTGTTTAGTTGAGGCTTGATATCTAGCTGAGCTGGTTGGTTGAAGAGCACTGTGTTGAGAAGGGAGGATAGGTTCAAGAGATCGAGCCGGGGCCTGTGTGTTACTGGGTCGATTCCGGAGCGAAGAAGCCTTTTTCTGATATGAGTGTTCCAGTAATTCTTGATCTCATTGTCAGTTCTTCCAGGCAAGCGGGCAGCTATAGCTGACCATCTGATCAGGTAGAAAAACATGAGTAAACGTGGTGGAAACATGGAAAAAAAGGGATGACAAATTTATATATTTAGGGGTTGGTTCTTACTTGTTGCCCAAAACGCTGTGCAATTGGATGATGGTCTCCTCTTCTTCAAACGAGAACCTTCCTCTCCTTATGTCTGGCCGGAGATAGTTTGCCCATCGCAACCTGCAACTCTTCCCACATCGAGCCAGACCTGCAAACAGACCAGTCGCCTTTTGGTTAGACTAACAAAGATTAATTGCATGGCCTATAAGCTTAAAACTAATTCGAGTTATTCATAATATATATATATATATATTATATTAAAGAAATGATCAGAGATTATTATACGAGTTTTCAATCATCACTAATGTAAATAATAATTTAAGTATCATCTTATTAAGGTCAACTGTGTTTGAGAGGATTCAAACCCCCGACCTGAGGGGTCTTATACCGTGAATGACAACCAACAAGCGTACATACGTGACATACATATTGATATAGATTTAGATATACAACATGAAATTTGAGCTATTTTTAACAGAAAAAAACATACCAGCATTTTTGGGGAGGGTTCTCCAGGTGCCATGGCCATGCTTCTGTATGTAATCGATGAGTTTCTGGTCCTCTTCTGGCGTCCACGGACCTTTCTTTAAACCATCCTTATCGCAGCAAGGAAGTCTCCCCATATATCCGGAACTAGGCTTCGGTTCTCGAGCTTTCAAAGGAGGGTTGGAAGAGTCAGAGAGAGAGAGAGAGAATGAGAAAGAGGCTTGCAGCGGTTGAAGAGAAAATTGGGTAGAGTGGAAGATGAGGTGCCATGATTATGGCTATATATAACTACAGCTACAACGGGAAGAGGAGAAAGTCAATGAGAGTTGGTTCCATTCACTGCTCATCAATGAGGTAACGCGGCCCATCTTTTGTGGCTTAAACCTAAGACTACTTTTATGTTTCGAATAATTAAATGGGCAAAGTGCAAAACTAAACTTGTGGAAGGCGCAACGTCATATGCAAGCAGACCCTGTATGTTTTCTGTTTCCTATGAGAGACTTAACCAGGTGAAGCCACGCAACCATACAGAATGACGTTTTGAGAAAGCGATGGTTAGTGCGGCCAGCTTTCGGATTCTTATTTTTCCTACCTCATAGATGGGATGGCATGCCTGTGCGGCTGAAAATTAACTTCGATAAATTATTTGTGATTCAGCTTGCCAAGAGCTTTTACATATCCATTTGATTAATCAGTTGAATATTTACTATTAAAATTCAATTGTTAAATGAATGAACCTAAATAATTTATTGTTGATTCTATTGGGAAAAATGACGACACTAATGATACAATTATGAAACAAGAAAATCACACCCAACACACAGAATTAGGTGATTCGGCAAATTATCTACGTCCATAGAGTTGCATTTGATTTTATTGCTTGAAGAATTACGCAGTACAAAGCTCCAATTACAAGACTCGTATCAAACTTCCTTCTCCTTCTCCCTCTGCTTTCGCGGCCCGCACCTTACTTGGAAGAAGACGCCTGAGCTTCTTTTGGGTTCTTCGGCACAACAAAACACCACACGATTCTTCTGCTTTCTTTAACACAGGAAAACATTGCACGAAATGTCTGCTTTCTTCGACACCTCAAAAACAGCTCTTGAAAAGAAGAGAAACAACGAGTGAATGAAGCGGATGAAGAAAACAATAGTAATATAGCAAAACGGGGGAGAGCGGGAGACATATGAGGAACACACAAATTAAGGTAATAACAAAGAAAAGTAATAAATCAAATAAAACATTCAAATACTTTCCATAGGTATTAGACCGCCAAAGTTAAGGAAGTGGACCGGGCTCCACAAAACTCAACAAATCTTCTTGTTGGAGACTAGGACACTGACTGCATTATCATCTTCTTCAAACATGACATCCTCCACTTCTGCAAATCAAAGCCTCTATCTTCATGCTAGAAGACCAACTGAAGTTGTGCACAACTTCAATTTCTTAAAGTGTAACACCCTTGATCAACATATCAGCAGAGTTCTTGCTTCCACAAATTTTCTCAAGTAGCAATTATCTATCATATAACAATAATCAAATGAATTGATATCTGTTATAAATATGCTTAGTACTGGATTGAAATGCCAGATTCATGGTAAGGGATATAACACTCTGACTGTCATTGTAGAGAGTGCCCTTTTGATTCTTCTTACCCAATTCCTCCAAGAAGCTTTGTAGCCATATCATTTCCTTTACAACCTCTGACACTGCTATATACTTAGTTTCTGTGGTAGATCAAGAAACTGTTTTCTGTATGTTAGAGTCTCATGATACTGCAGTGCTACCAAGAGTATAAACATAACTCATAGTAATCCTTCAGTTATCAATGTCTCCAGCTAGATCAACATCAAAGTAGCCCAGTACTTCTAAACTCTTTCCTGAGAAACACAAGCAGGTTTCTGAGGAGCCCTTTAGGTACCTCAAAATTCACTTCACAGCTTCACAATGTTGCTTTCCTGGGTTACTCATATATCTGACCACAACTCCCATTGCATAGGAAATATCCTGTCTTGTGCAAACCATCATATAGATAAGTGAACCAATGACTGAGGTGTAAGGGACCTTACTCATGTAGTCTTGTTCCTCCTTTGACTTGGGTGATTGATTTTTGCTGAATCTGAAGTGACTGCCCAAAGGTGTGTTAACTGGTTTGACCTTGTCCATATTGAACCTGTTGAGTACCTTTTTTGCATGCTCTACCTGTGAGAGTCTCAACATGCCCCTGACTCTATCTCTGACAGTCTTCAAGCCAAAGATTTGTTTTACAGCTACCAAATCCTTCATTACAAAGTTCTTTGACATCTACTTCTTCAAATTATTGATCTCATCGATACTGGCCCCTGCAATAAGCATGTCATCCACGTACAACAATAGAATAATACAAGAATTATCAAAATGTCTGACATAACAAAAATGATCTGCCTGAAATTTGATATACCCTGCATTATGCATGAAGTTATCAAATTTATCGTACCACTTTGCTTCAGACCATACAAGCTCTTCTTTAGTTTGCAAATTGATTATTCCTTTTCCTGTACTACAGACCCCTCAGGCTCGTGCATGTAGATGTCTTCTTCAAGGTCTCCATGAAGAAAAACTGCCTTCACATCTAGTTGCTCAAGAAATTGATCTTTGGTAGCAACCATAAATATTACCATCCTGATGGTAGTGTTCTTCATCACAGAAGAGAAGAACTCAGAGTGATCAATGCCCTTCTTTTGCTGAAAGCCTTTTAAAACAAGTCTAGCTTTGTACTTCTTACTATCATCAGGCTCAGTTTTCACCTTGTACACCCATTTGTTGTGTAATGCATTCTTTTCTGGTGGAAGCTCAGTCAACTCCTATGCCTGATTTCTTAGCAATGAATCCATCTCATCTTTGCTAGCTCCCACTTGCTAGAATTTTCATCAACAAGGGTTCTTCATAAGTCTGTGATTCTCCACCACCTGTGAACAGAACGTTGTTTAAAGTTTGTGAGAAACGCTGAGGAGATCATCTAACCTTGATTGACCTACAAACTTTAGTTGTATGGGTAGATGACTCTTAAACTGACTACGGAATAGTAGGAATGGGTGCGCTGGAACCACTCTCCTCATCACTTACATCTTTGCCCTGCAATGTGACCACTAGTAGGTCATCAAACCTTACCAACTCGGATTCCTGAGGAGCTACTTCAGAAACTGTACTGGACTTATTTTGTACATAATCTTCTCTTTAAAAATCACACTCTTATATTCTTCTGATCCTGATCATCCCGAAAATAATAGTCAAATGCCTCGTCTCCATAGCCGCTGAAATAACATTTCCTTGACTTAGCCTTAGGTTTGCTACAAGCATTAGGATTAATAAGAATATAAGAAAGACAACCAATAGTTTTAAGGTGAGAAAATTTGACCTCTTTCCCGCTCCAGACCTCCTTAAGCAATTCAAAATCTAATAGAACAGATGTCCCCCTGTTGATCAAGGAAGCTGTACTGGTGGTCGCATCTTCCTAGAAAGTTGGTGGTAGTCCGACAAACATTCTCATGCCTCTAGCAGCTCATTTATGGTTCTTTTCATACGTTCTGTGTCCCAGGAATGGTCTTCTCCATTTAAATATTTGAGCTACACAAAACTCATTGAACCCATCATCAATGCAATCACCACTGTTGACCTCAAACATTTCAATTTTAAGTCTGTCTCTGTCTCAACAACGGCCTTCTAAGTTTTGACACATTGAATACATTAGATTTATGCTTCAAGAAATAAACTCATACATTTCTATTATGGTCATTAATGAATGTCACATAGTAATGAGAGGCTCCAAGAGATACTACTGGAAAAGGTCCCCACACATATGTGTGTACAAGTTCCACTTTTCCTTCCTATGACACTCTATCACCTTTCAAAAAATTGTCCTTCTGCTATTTTCTCATAACACAACTCTCACACATGCTAAGTTCAACTGACTTCAGTTATGATAGCTTGCCTCTGGACTGAAATTCTTTCTTAGCATTTTACTCATGTTGCCAAGCCTACAATGCCAATAGCTTTCCTCTGGACTGAAATTCTTTCGTAGCATTTTACTCATGTTGCCAAGCCTACAATGCCACAAATCTTCTAAGCTACAAATCTGCTAAGCTCTCTGCAATGGTAGTGTCAACATTGTTAATTAAACTAATAGTCATATATAGTGTACCGATTTTCTTACCTCAAGCTAGTACAAGTTCCACTTTTGTGACCTTCTGAGTGCTATCTAAGAACACTACTGAATGAGCTCATCGACTTGCCCAACAAAAATGAGGTTTTTCTTCAACACAGGACCATGTCTAACCTTTTATAAAGTCCATTTGCACTTATTAGGGATTGAAATTTTAATGTCTCCCATTCTCAACACGTTCAAATATTATGCAGCAGCCAGATACACCTTCCCAAAGTCACCTGCGACACAATCATTCAAATGGTCAAACCTGAGATCCAATTGGTCAACCTTGGGCGGGTCAAACTTCGTCAATTGTTCAACTTTTGAACCCAATTGGTCAACCCTAGTCAATGTGTCAACCCTAAACCACCTTGGCCAACTCATGACCCCATATTCAATATAATGACTATAGGATCAACCCAACATTACATGGCCAATCCTACACCCAATTGGGTTCAAATGGTCAACCTCGTGAGTTTGACCTAACTAATTAATTAAATAAGTCATTAAACGACTTCATGAAAATTTTTAGCTCAAGGGCTACACATGGAAACCCAAGCCCCTTCATGAAGGCCCAAGCCCAAAACCTACTTTACCCATGACTGTTAGGTCACCAACAACCCAACCAGACCCTTCATGACACAAATAACCTATAAGAACCCATCAAGTTATCCAAAGACATTATTTTTGAGCAAAGACCAAAAATCATCTTGAGAAAAGGAGTATATGACACCCCTTATGAATTCCACATCACCTCCTCTTGGACAAGGTTGTACTGATTAGACCAGCTCATTGCTGAGCCCCTTATCCACTTCACCATCTCTTTAATAGGAAAGGAGCCTTGCTTTAGCCATCTTCTCCACCATATTGGAAGCTATGATTAGCACACCATAGAAAAAGCCCAAAACCTGACCATGGTCAGCCGAAATCTCATCCTCTGGGCTCACTGAGCTTCCCTGAACCACCTCCCACCTCCTCTAATCAAATTGAAGCTTAGCCATGGCCTCCAATGGCTATAAAGAGGCCATAATTGAAAGCTTTCACAAGA